AGGGCAAGTGGCATTTGCAGCAACAAAGGACACTATTGAAGATGTAATAAATATGAGTTAATACGTTGCTTGATAATTGTTTTTTTATCCTTTATCGAGAAACAAAACTGACACCTTTTTTAAAAGGAGTCATGTTTGCATTGACCACAATACTTGCGAACGCTGATAATGTATGCACTGTCCTTGAAATTGATTGGTCCACACCCGAGACAGCTTTTCTTAGAGCCCAGTCTCACGTGGTGTTGGACCAGATGACGCCAAAAGGCGTACGTTGCTTGAATTAAGCAGACATACAATAACTTGGTGAGAGAGGCGATGGCGGGAGCATGTGAACGTCCAGCAGTGCAAGGGAAACAGCAGACAGAGAAGGTTTTTGACCTGAAGTGTGGTAGTTGAACAGAGCATGGACGAGCCTGTGTGTCTGTGTGAGTCTGTGAGAGCCTGTGTGAATCTGTGTGTCTCTGTGAGTCTGTGTGTCTCTGTGAGTCTGAAGGAGCCTGTGTGAGTCTGTGTGTCTCTGTGAGTCTGTGTGTCTCTGTGAGTCTGAAGGAGCCTGTGTGAGTCTGTGTGTCTCTGTGAGTCTGTGTGTCTCTGTGTGTGTCTGTGAGTCTGTGTGTCTCTGTGTGTTTGTGTGAGTCTGTGAGTGCCTGTGTGAATCTGTCTCTCTGTGAGTTTGTGTGTCTCTGTGTGAGTCTGAAGGAGCCTGTGTGAGTCTGTGTCTCTGTGAGTCTGGTGTCCCTGTGTGAGTCTGTGTGTCTCTGCGTGACCGTGTGTCTCTGCACAAGTCTGTAGGAGCCTGTGTGAGTCTGTGTGTCTCTGTGTATCCCTGTGTGTCTCTGTGAGTCTGTGTGTCTCTGTGAGTCTGTGTGTCTCTGCGTGAGTCTGTGTGTCTCTGCGTGACCGTGTGTCTCTGCACGAGGCTGAAGGAGCCTGGGTGAGTATGCGTGTCTCGGTGTGCGAAAGTGATTCTGGTTGGCTGAATCCTCAGCATGTGTGGAGGAATCAAGGAGTGAAGTGCATAGAAACAGTGACCATGGCAATAGCAGTGATCGTTGGGTCATAAGGAGGTGACTGTGGTGCCAAGAGGGTGGTGTCACGTCAAGTAGTTTTCTGACCTATTTATATGGATTTTTTTTTATTAAAGAACTCTGCTCTCATTCGCATGGGTTTTCTTCCACACAATCTGGTTTCCTTCGCATGTCGCACAAAAGAAATACTCAAAAATAAAAGGAGTTGTTCAAACATACCATGGCAAGACTCTCTTGAAAACGCCCCGGAGGCTTAGTGAGGCTTTCTTGGATAAACAAAGAAGTCGTTGCATTTGTATGCATTCGAGATCAAAGGAACCCCTGGGCATAATAAAAAAACAAACTTAACCTCTCTTTGTTGCACATAAACACTGAGGAATTAATATATTCCCTGGCTAGGAGTGGTGGTGACCAGAGACTACAAGTGAGCGCTGTGCTGTAGTAGAAGATGATTGTGGCCGAGGCTGAGTTACATGCGGCAATTGGTGTTTTGGAGTGTCACGTATCCGAGTGTCTGATATCGCTCCCTCCCTCTCCGTGGAACATGTCAGCTTTTGCTAAATGAATGTTTAAAAGGCCAGGCGATTAAACAAAGGGTGACATGAAAGATGTTTTTTGGTGGCGCCATATCAATGTGCGTGTGTGTGTTGTCATTGCTCAGTAAAAATAAAGGCGGATTTTACTCCGTGCATTACTTCGCCGCTCTGTTATGCAAACATATTGCATTAGTGCTAGCAAAAAAAAGCCATATCCGTGAATATGCAAATAGATATTTCAAAATATAAAACAATCCTACAATAGGTGCCACTCTTTATATATCTGTTGCGGAATACTTCTATGTCTGTAATGTGTGTATAGGCTGCATATGCGTTAACACACACGTGCAACGCTTCCCTGCAGTATGCAGGAAGTTTATTCGGTGAACGCTGACTCTAAGATACGACACTGTACACGGAATATAAAATATATTACACTTTGAACCTCCTGCCTTGTGCAATGGTCGGGTCCACTTTCGTTCAGAGCCCTCTTTCTCTCTGATGGGTCATGTGACCTGGGTTGGATTCCCATTGAACGTGGGGTGTGCGTGTGCGTGCAAGCCGGTGGGTGCGTGTGTCGTGCAACTACTTAGTAACACGCGGTTGTCGCGAATGTTGTGGGTAGCGATGCGCTCAACTCCACGCGTTTCGCCGTCTTTTCGAAATATTTACCAATACTCAACCGCGCTTGTGGTGAATTTCCCGTGACGATATTCACTATTAACTCATCCTGGACGGTGTCCATCCAAAGGTTTGGGATACTCTTGACTTTTTGTGCATTGTTGCAAGTGACTTTTTAAGTGAACATTTTTAGGAAGGTTTGTCCACTGAGATAATTGTCTTCGCAATAGTTGCGGTGAAGAGTTTGACATTTTGTTTAAGGTCTACGATGACCATTTCAAGGTGGAATGTTGAATGTTTGAAATAGTTATGCGATTTGTCTAAACGCGACTTTGCCGTGCGCAAAATAATGTTGTTATTCTTGAATGGTCAACTGTATTTGAAATGTCAGATTGCTGTTGCAGATCAATCGAAAGTGAAAATAATTAACTCCTCTTTTAACGATGTTTCGTGTCCAGTTATATATTTTTGGCAACATTTTAATCGTATAGCAATTGCGCTAAGCAGGTGGGCTTTCCTTTGGTCCAAAATTTGCTCGTGATGAGTCTTCCAACTTGCCATGAACATTTCAGGGCAGGTGATAGCTATTACATGGGTATATTAACAGGCCTCAGATCGCTGATGACCATAGTTGACGTCAAAACTATCCATAATATAAGTTTTTCGGTTAGATCGCGTACATGTCAATGTGTCGTTTAACCCGCCGCCACCCAACACAGCAAATTAGCAAGGTTGTCACGTAAACAAAACGTGCCAATTGGTTACAGGTTCAGCACACCGGTCTGTTGGAGAGTAAAACCACAACAACATTTACAATTATAGTGTAGTGTATAGTGTAGTATACTAGTTAATCACTCACCGGTTGTGTGTTGGAGAGTAAAACCCACTACAACATTTACAATTATAGTGTAGTGTATATTATATACTAGTTAATCAATCACCAGTTGTGTGTTGGAGAGTAAAACCCACTACAACATTTACAATTATAGTGTAGTGTATAGTGTAGTATACTAGTTAATCACTCACCGGTTGTGTGTTGGAGAGTAAAACCCACTACAACATTTACAATTATAGTGTAGTTTATAGTGTAGTATACTAGTTAATCACTCACCGGTTGTGTGTTGGAGAGTAAAACCCACTACAACATTTACAATTATAGTGTAGTGTATAGTGTAGTATACTAGTTAATCACTCACCGGTTGTGTGTTGGAGAGTAAACCCACTACAACATTTACAATTATAGTGTAGTGTATAGTGTAGTATACTAGTTAATCACTCACCGGTTGTGTGTTGGAGAGTAAAACCCACTACAACATTTACAATTATAGTGTAGTGTATAGTGTAGTATACTAGTTAATCACTCACCGGTTGTGTGTTGGAGAGTAAAACCCACTACAACATTTACAATTATAGTGTAGTTTATAGTGTAGTATACTAGTTAATCACTCACCGGTTGTGTGCTGGAGAGTAAAACCCACTACAACATTTACAATTATAGTGTAGTGTATATTATATACTAGTTAATCAATCACCAGTTGTGTGTTGGAGAGTATAACCCACAACATTTACAATTCGACTACCGTGTTCACCAGAAATATTGGTCGTGAAAGCCCACGTGTTCAACTCAAATTAAAACTGTTTACACTTTCTACAAATGCTGCCATGTGGCATCTAAATTGCCGATAGTTTGATGGACTATTGGTATTTTTCCTTGTTTGTTTGGACGGCTGTAATTCACGTACAGCAGAGCGTAAATGTTACTTAGATTTTCATCATAATCAGGAATGAGTCATCATCACTTTCTTGGCTATAATCGATGCATACAGCAAAGTTTTCAAACGTTGACGTGTGTTTTAATAGTTGACCGCACAGATTGAACTGTGTTTACATCTTGATGAGTTGGTGATTGTTGTTGGTGGAAACAATGGCAAATTTTGTGCCAATCGGTGTGTGAAAAGCAACATTCACCACCTCGTAAATCTGACCATATCTATAAGGTTTCCATAACGACATTCACATGTTGCATTGTTATATTTTAAAAGCTAATTATCGATAAACACGACTCTGCTGATGAGACACTGTAGGTCAAAACCGGTCCGGACTTTGCTTGCCTTCAATCAATGCTGCTGAAATTATGCACTCCCAGAAGGCCACGTGGTTGATGGGTTGTATAAGAATGTTTTTTTTGTATTCAATTATGTCGATAAGACTAAATTGTCTGCGTATTTATTCTGTTCTGTGCATTTTCTGCAATGACGCTCGGGATTTGTTTTGCTTTATGCACTGCAATGTAATTGTTTGAATGAAAAGGTCTTAAGAAATTAAGGCACATTTTAAGACGTTGAACATCTTGGGTGACGCGGTCAAACTTGAATTGAGTTGTAAAGATTGTCAACCGAAATTACACGGATTCTCCATCGAATTTTAGTTTAAAGTGTATCCTTTTTCATCACGGTCAAGTGTATTTGTTTCATGCTAACACGCTATAGCAGGGAAACCAGTTTCTTATACAGTGCTATTATTGTATCTATATCCACAATTTATAAACGTAAAATGGATTACTATTAAAAATATCGACAGTTTAAAATCCAAACTTTGCAGCTCCGATTAGCACGCTTGACTACATAGGGTACGAAAGATGTTCAACAACATGCATACACATTTTATTCAGAGTGCTTAAGCCCAGCTTGGCAAATACAATGAGGAATGTGACTGGCACGTTTTATTTGAAGGCCCCCGCTTCTTGAAAACGTTTTTCGCACTGTGATTATATTTAATGCGTAATTTTCTTTTATCTTTTGCCTTTTTGTTGCAGGTTCTGAGTTGCCACAGGAACTGATTTATAAGGCCCGGTTGCCCTGCAATGCTCTTTCAATAAAGGAAATAGGTAAGTAATTATTAACAAGCCTTGAACTACGTTCATAAATACAACACCTTTGCTGAGATAACACATTGTGCTTGTTTGTATGGCCCCAGAAACAATAGTCTTCTTGTGTGGACATTTCCTCCCCTCGTGAGTATCACTCAGCTTGGCCTATCTTTTTTTTTGCACCTATGACCACATCTCCCGGACTGGGCCATTACTATCTGTGTCAAATTTCAGAAGCTAAGCAGGTTTCAGCCCGGATAGTATCGTTTCAGTGACCGCCAATGAGCGACCGCCGTGGTTACAAGCGAAAGGGCTATGGGGTGGGCAGAAGAGGGCAATGTGGAAAAATCCCATGATTCTTTACTTACTTGTTCCCACGTTCTCATGTACTCCACCTTCGCCGATATTTACCGATCAGCGTGGTGGAGTATGGTCAAGTAATCCCCACGGACCACAAGGCAACGGGAGAAGAGCTTGCCCAACAGTTGGTCGACAAGGGGCTGCACACGTACACACGCACGTTCTTAGTAAATGTCTGTGTGTCAGGACAGATGTGGTCATCTCACAGTGTGCGATTGTAAGTGGTTGGTTATCGTTCGAGAAGGGTCGTGCATTTTTGTTATTTACGAGACTGAATATACTTCGAAAACTTTTGATGCGTGAGCCAAAAAAATATTGCCATCATCAATCGACATCATCAGGGCCTTCATAACAAAAGAGCACTGTAAGGTAGAAAATACATTTTACTATGATTGTCATTATCTAGCACTCTTATCGCCAAAGGTCAAATGTAAAGGGGCAGCCCTGTAAGCACTCATGCCACTGCTGGCAGAAGGGCCCTTACGAGATGGAGCTCTAGAGACGCCCTCTGAACGCTCATTCACGTTTATTTTTCACGTACATAAAACTAAAAACTGTTTATTATTTTGACCAGGTAAGCCCCACTGATCTATACAGCTCTTTTTCAGAAGCAACCTGGCCACAAAATGTTAGCTCAACGAAGTGGCTCATCACGTGGACATTTATAGCAGCTAAATCCTCTAAACGCACGTTTCTAAATGTGGAGGGAAAAACCGGAGGACACGGAGACCATGGGGAGAACATGCAAACTCCAAATATATCGGTGTCAGGGATGAAATAGAACCTACGACCTGGTGTATGTCAGACAAGGTAGTTAACATCTCGCCACCGCGGCGCCCTGATAGTTTAGTTTTTAAAATCAAAATAGTTTAGTTTCATATGTCGAGGTCCACAGAGCTTGGGCCAAATAACTTATGTCACGGGTTTTGTACCATCTCTAAATAACAGGTTGAGACCATCAATTTTATTTTACTTAGTATAGGTGACTAGGATTTGAACTCAGTTCCTCTGCAGCTCTGGCTCAGTGCTCATCCCCCACCACCACTCATTCTGCTCACTCCATTTCCTTAAATCAAAGCTCACACAGCTGCATCCACATCTCACTGCACGATCAAAAAAAGCGGTGTGGCCTCGCTTTGCATGCATGCACCGCTTGTGTGTTCAACAACCGTTCCGCGGAAGACTTAGTCTGGCTCTCTGAGTCTTAGGCATTTCCATTTAATCCCAAGAATCAGTGAGCCGAACGCTGCCGGCATTCCGCAAACGTCGGCTGCGTCGCCCATTGCGCGTTGGCCTACGCTGATTGACGTCCGTCTCCCTCATGGAGACTACGAGCGGTAGTGCAGCGGCTAGCGCGCTGCGCTACAAACCTGCCGACCCGAGTTCGATTCCCGCTCACGGACAACGCCAGTGATGATTATTTGCACCGGTCCTGGGCCTCCCCTAGGTCGGCTCAGCCCTAAACACCTGGTGCGGTGTGTAAACACCGTCACTAGGGAGACTGAGGCGGCCGGGCGTGGTGCTGGCCACCCACCCCCTCGTGTGCCCTGTCGCTCTTCATAGGCGCTCGCTAACAGCAACTGCCCCGACAGTCTGTTAAATCCGTGTGGGTGGTCTTTGCCTTTGCGTGAGTGTGCGTGAATGCATGAGGTGCGTGCGTCTCATCTAAATTAAGCTGCCTTTTGTCATACCTTCCGAGGACCTCGGGTAAAACTATCCGCCCCGGGTGCCGTTTGGAATAACCGCGGAGTGCTTAAGAGCGCGGAGCTACTTGGCGACACCGCCGGTGACTGCGGACATCGATGGGCCTGGCCTCAGTGTATCCTGAGGCTTGTGTACCCCCCGCATGCTCGCCCCTCACGGCCAGCCATGACGTTGGCATCTAAAGACCTCGCTGGTTCATGTATTTACATGTAACTCTGTTGTTTTGCAAGGGGTGTAACTGTAAATGTCGAGACCATTATTGACTTTGAGGGCCTGTTGGCCTAAGGGGTTTTTTTTGCTGTTGTTTTATTGAGGTAAATTAAATTTATTTTTAAGTTTTATAGATCAGGTTTTTCTTGGGTTTTTATTTTTACTTTTCACTGAGGCAGTGATTTTATTTTCATGTTGTAGATTTTATCATTTTGCAAACACCGCATGCCGGTCAGGATCAACTTAGTTCCATCATGATCGTCACCTTTTCCTCTCGGGTCACTGAAATGACCACCAACTTTGCTATCGCCAATTTGTGGGAAATTGTTCTATGTAAAGGCCATAAGAGAATGAAATTTCCACCAATGGCTCAGAATCCCCTACAGAGATGAGAACAGTCTCATTCTGGTTTGAGCGTGGAGACACGGCATTTCACTTTTGACCATGCTGTAAGTTATAGGCGATGCTGCCGCGATATATTGCTTAGCACACTTGGACTTGCAATGCAGAGACAAGACAGAAGGCCACAGTTAACGCCCACCACAACGTGGTAATTCCCGCTCATCGGTTTGCAAATTCTTCATCGAAAACAAGTAACCTGTTCTTGTTACAATACCCGCATACTGAAGGCGAGATTTATCTTTGAGTAACAGATTGAATGATGTTAATTATAAATGACAATGGATCACCTCAGACTATCAATCTCACTCAATCCAGAGGTCGCCAGTTCAAGTCCGTCCTGCGATATGGCAGTTGAAATAATCGTCAATTCTCTCAAATCCTCCCCACCATTGGCAGAGCCAGTGGTGGGGGGTGGGGTGGCACGTGCCCCCCCAATGATCCGATCGAAATCCCTAATTTTTATCAGATCATTGGGGTTTATTAGTAATAAATCAGCATTTTACGACCCCCAATGCCACTGTGTAGCATATTATTACGTGCCAGGGAGTCTATGAGATGATAGGACAATAGTCTGAGTCCATAATTGGCAATAAGTAACGGCAAAGCAGTTATAAGTGACTTAGAATTGTGCCCAGTTGCGTATACAGTACACGACTTCCCTGAAGGCATTCACCTTCAGCGAGCGCGATGCCGATCACACGCAGTTCGAATTCGACCCTCGATCGATGGCTGCGCCATCGCCGCACACGCGTCGAATAAGAAGCAAGGGACAAGTCCTTACTTACTAACAACTCCTTATTTACTAACAACTCCTTACTTACTAAGAACTCCTTATTTACTAACAACTCCTTACTTACTACCAACTCCTTACTTACTACCAACTCCTCTATAATTTTTCATTGCTGGAGGGGTTGCCCCCCCTACCTGAAAATCCTGGCTCCGCCATTGCTCCCCACCACCTCTGCCCCCCCCCCCCCCCAGCGGTATAAATGGGGTGTACCACAGTTAGTAGATAGGTCACGTTCGGTGGAGTAAAGTGTGGGTAGTGCCACATCTTCCAAGATATCTCGCCAGCATGGAAGAAGAGGCCAAAATACACGCTACAGGGGTCATCCATTTTGGAGCTGCCCCTAGTTGTGGGTGCGAAAGAAGTTCAACATACGTACTGTACACACATGCCCTCTGCCAGCTGTGGCTTGATCAAGCAATTGTAGGGATGCCCCTTTGCCTTTACAGGGCCTCGAACATTAGTGCTGTTTATTGATTCATAAGGAGTCAAACTAAGTTTCTACTCTGCCACCGGACTTAACCTCGGAAGAATGTCACTCACAAAAATGAATGAAGATCCAATGACTTGCCCGCACTACGCTTGGCACTTCGGGCTATGTTTTAACATGCACTGTGTATTTTAGCTCAGCTTCAGCCAAGGGTTGTCTGATAATATGTCAGCTTCCTCAGTTCAACAGAAACACTGTTTATGTTCGTCGCCTGGTTGTGTCTCCATTGCAAGGCTATGATGCAATCTCCTCACTAGATTCGTGCCCGTGTGTTGTGTATTTTGTTAGGAAATGGCCCATAGAATATGTTATTGCGCCGTGTATAATGGAATACAAACACAACGACGCAGTAGCCCTTTGCAGCTTTAATCGTGAGAGTTTTATAGACAGGGCCGCACGGCATTTTGATGGGAAACATGCTAAAACCAAGGGTCTTGTGATGAATATTGGAGCACGACCATGGCTGACCATGTTTGCCATACAAGCAAACTAGGAGACTGTCTCCTGCATTGCTGTTCAACAAATTCTGTAACAACCACGTGCTTTAACAGCTGAACTTAAAACACTCACCACTGTCTATTTATAGCCCTCTATGTGATAATAACTTACAGTCCTTTGTCAGTCCTCCGTTGCTTGATGCTGGCCTCCCCATAGCGTGCCAGTCATTGGTGCTGTTTGACCGTACTTCACAACGCTGTCCGGTGTGGTTCGATGAATGGGGTTGCCCCAGGACCGCGTTCAGATATTACTCGCCACAGACGTTAGCCATGGCAGGGGAATCCATTCAGGTCGCTGGGGTAAAAATGCAACGACAAAAGCTCAAAACATTTGTCAATGACACTAACCCTGACAAGATAAAAAGTCTATAACAGGTGACGTATCGGGCAATATCTGAAACGTGATTTAAATATTTTTAGTTTCTTCCTTTTAGGGTAGTGGCTCTTGTTTGACAGCACACTTCGAGAGGTCATAGAGTTTGCTTCACTCTCGTCACCTGATTATAGACTCTTTAGGGCAGAGTTACTGAATGCGTTGAGTATATTTTGCCGTGACTTTAAAATGGCT